GTATCATATGTGCATTTCAAATGCACTTATTTTCCATAGGAATATAGTATTTCGAAGTCAGTACAATTAACAAGATTTTATACCCATATTTATAGCCGCCAGTCTACCCATCCACTAAGTACGTATCCCCCTCTCTACGAAGAATTGTCGACCGACGTCTGCACCATCACCATCGCAAACACCAGCACCAAAGCCGGTCAAATGGCAGTAGCCTGATCTCGCACCTCCTGCTGCCACATTCAACGTACAACCGTCAAGCTTGTCGTCTAGACAACAATTCACAGGGCCCTATTTAGATGGTAAAAAATTGTGCACAAGCACATTCTCTCCAATTACAGATTGTTCTAGAACCATGATTAGCAATGTAAAATCGCGGTTTAAATCGACAGGTTATTCCACTCCACCATCATCGATTATGTCGGTGTGGACGAGTGCACCCAGCTGCGACGGTCCGCTCGCTAGACGTCTGATTTGGACGCAGTCACAGCAAGTGATTATTGGTGCATCCACACATGCACTTTGGAATGCCAAATAGGAGTTGGTCGTGTCTCATATAAATAGGTGATTTGCCATGGCCACACATTGCAAGGCTTCTCCCACCTACGGAATGCGATTCCGCGCAACTCATCTACATGCGAATGCCATTGTCTCTACTCACTAATCAAACGTTGCGGGACGTGAGACGGAATTTCAACATGGCTTAATTTCCGTATCACCTATGTGTAACCAGAATAGATAAAACATGTTCTTTACATTTTGCTGGATCAGCTTACTGCCTTCAGCATGTCAATTTATCGAATCACCGTCACTACAGGCCAGCTTTGCGAAAAGAAGTGGCTGCGTATGTTACAATAAAAAAACTCCTCTAGGACATGATTTCACTTATTCGCAAATTCTGTGCATTTTTGCCAATCACACTACACCATTCAAAATAAGGCAAAATCATTCATAGTAACATTAATGATTCTCTGCATTAAATTTCTAGTGAACTCAACTCACTGATCATTTTCCGTTCCAGGCACCGCCCTTCTTCTCTATGACATCTCAAACTTCAACACGGAATCACACTGGAAACACTCATAGACACTCATCAGAGGACCCACAAACGCTGGAAGCAGCCTATCTACGTAGTCGCAAGGTAGTTCCTCGAAAAAGCGGTAGGTTGGAGAGTTAACTGTGACTTCGCATCAAGTAAGTCGTTGTGGCTGTTTTCAGCGGGATGATGGCCGTTGTCGTTAGCCGTTTGATTATCTGCAATAGAAATGTCAGGTGTAAAGCCACTTTGAGAATCCGTAGGAGAGTGTTAAATGAACTCACCTCACTGATCCTTATTCCCTTCTAGGCATCGCCCTCCGTCTCTATACCACCTCAAACCTCAACGATGAATCACACTCGAAGCGTTCATGCAGACTCATCAGAAGACTCACAAGTGCTGGACGCGGCCTGTCCACGTAATCCACTAGGTAGGTATTCGAATAAGCATCAACTTAACGCTGAATCTGTTAGCAATGACCTGAGCCTGAGAAGGTCGGTGCAATCAACTGTGACTTCGCATCAAGTTGGAAATGTCTGCAATGGAAATGTCAGATGTAAACCCACTTCAACTCTGAGAACAATGCAAGCTAAATGGAAGAAAAAAAAATTATGGTCAGCTTACATAAAATATGATACAACGTGAAGATTTAATCAAGATTAAGAGCTGGTCATACAAGTGTCAAATGGCTCGTTAGAACACAAACGCTCGCACTTTCAACACTGCACTCACTTAACACTAAGCATATGAAGCATTAGCAACAAGATATTATCCCTTGTATCGCTAGCAGCAAACATTCTGCTTTAAGCACTTTCTCTACTTTCCATTCCACCGCCGCAGAAAGGTCAGAAGTTTGTTCAGAGTTCAACTCTTGAGATATTCTCGATAATGTCGTGTTGAACACCAGGCAACATGGCCAACCATCACAGAACGGTAGTGATTGGCAATTCCACTGAGTAGGTTGTTTTTGCCTACATAAACAAAACAAATTTATTACCATGATTGTCATCTCTGTTAAACATTCGGAAAATTTATCTTGAAGCAGCACTGAAATTGCAAAGGAGAAATCCACGTGTCGGCACATGCTCGAAGTTACCTTCACAGGACCACCCACCTAACGTAGGCGCTAACAGAAACTGTCGCAAAGGGAATGGTCGTTGCCTGCTTGTATCCAGGTAGTTCGAGATTGCTAGGAGTGCATGCAGATTCTCACCTCTAACCTGCATGAACACAACGCAATTTGGAATGTGTAAGAAGGACTTGCACGCTGCAGTTATGTGGCACACGAACTAGTGGACG